CAATATGGATTTTCCACACATTGAAAGCGTTGATCGCGCCTTTTCTGTATAATATTGACTGATGGAATCCATAATTGCAGCCTGAACAATCCGATCTAAAACCGATTTTCAGACTCAGAATTTTTAGGTTTTCTATCTCGAAACACAATAACAGTAAGCCAATACATAAAAACGGAAAATAATTATTTTTTAATCCACACGTGTATTTGGTTCAGCTCTAACAAGATAGTTGCTCGTTTTCCAAAATACTTGCGTCAGATCACTTCTTGGAAAGCTGGGTGGGATGACACTAGACCAGTACAATGAAATTCTCCTCACTATTTATCAGCCACAAAACTTTCGATCCCATCTTTTCCAGCTGCAATACTTAGTGATATGGCAACGATGAGCGCGGGAAGGCCTACAGGATTAAAAAAAATCAGACATGAAACTTAGCTTATTCCCACCCGTCAAGGGTAGAATTTCCCTTTCGACATTGGATATTAATCTTAAGCACCGCTATTCAGCGATATTTAGGACTTAAGTATGCAATATAAGTGACAGATTATGTTCCTGTCCCCGTATTCTTGAATTCGGAGAGGATTCCTTACGGAACAAGGACGCACAAAAAATATGGTGTGAACGAGAACCGAAGACAAATTGTTCGAAGAAACTGCTACCTAAATTAGTTGGACTTATGAGACATAGGTAACTATATTGTAAAAACACAAAAGGGTGGTAATTAAAAGTGTTTAAATATTTTAATAGCCACAGAGTACCTTACCCCATGAAATTCCATGGCACATTCTTAATTTGTCGCCAACGTTGTAAACTTTCACAACAAACAGGTAAAGGTAAATTCCCTCGACCAGCATCCAACAAAAGGCAGCCATCAAAAAATACTGCATAAGGGCTGCCACTGTAAGGCAACCTCCCTGGGAAAATGGAAGGCGAAAGAGGAAAGTTCTGTTAATTTGCAATTTGCCTTAATGATACATACGCCATGTTTGATTTGTATCGTAAATATTGATAAGGCGTGTCGTCTTGACTCCTGTTGCAAACTGACCGATCCAAAAGCCTAGAGAGATTTCGGGGACGCACCGCTCACCATAAAAGCCATTTTCACTAAAATACAAGAAAAATAATATTCGACCAAAAAAACACGATCAAAGTACTTAAAACTGTTCAAAAAGCCTTTAAATCGCGTTAGTTTCATTTTCTTCGAAGTTGATATTTATCGCAGTCTTCTGCGTGTCAATTGGCCTCTTCGTTTCTGGACAGCAAATATTTCAATTTCCACAGAATTCTTGCCTTGTTCCCAGTCGCTCCAATCCCGGCGAGAAACATGATTTGTCCTGCACCAAGAGAAGTGACGAGACTCACTCGAATCTGGGATAAAGGTCCTCTCATGTCTCTGGCACGCCAACAAAAACGAAAGAAAAAAATAGAAGGAAAAGAAAAGAAAAGGAAAAACATTTAAAAAGACATAAAAGAGATATTCTTTATTAACAATTAAGGTGATTGTTGGTTCCCTTTATTTTCCAAAATTTTACCCTTTCTTTCTTTTGTAGAAGTTAAGATAGGTATGTTGTTAAGGATAATGATTCTAGGTCTTCTCGTCATCATAGAACTCGAAGAAGTAAGCAAACAATGGGCAAATCGGTTAGTACTGCACGATTATCACTTCTGTTTGTCCATTGACAGAACTCAGCGTATGTGCAAACTTTTTTCGATCAGTTATTTACTGTTCTGACTGACATACATTTCTAATTTCTAACCACTTTACTCACGTGAGAGTAAGATAGCTGATTATCGTCAATGTGATACCAATAACAGAAAGGGTCAGCCCGACGTATGTGAGAATTTCCAAGTTCTTTTCGTCTTTCTTTAACGAGGGGAAATATAAACAATAACAATACTTCAAAAGATTTACAAATCTAAATACATCAATTTAATCAAGTTTTATTCTACTTTAAAAACTAAAATGTTAAAATAATACGTATTTGTTTGAATATACAAGCAGATATTATCGTACAGGGGAGTTGCAGGCGTTGTGGTGACACTTACCTCTGATATATCGGCAGTCTCTGTTCCAGATGATGTGTCCAGAAGAACAGCAAAATGAGTCAAATGATTGCACGTGCATTCTGTTTGGTGTGCATCAGTAGATTTGACGTAGCATCCTTCTCCTGACCAGCCAATGGAACTGAAACGCAAAATAGATAAGTTATCGATCATGCAAGACTCTAGTGCAAGTCATGGGGACGGAGCCCCATATCCAATAATATTGATAAGTACTCGAGGTGACAAACTTTGACTGTTAGACGATGATCCTTTTAACCCTTTAACTCCCACGAGTGACCAATACAGAATTTCTCCTTACGATATCAATACAATTTCAAGCAGAAAAGTGATGAGAATAAATAAGATTATCAGTGAGGGGATTTTGAGTTGATCCAATACAAAATTCTCCAAACTAACACCACAAGAACTGTATGGCACACATTTAGGAGAATTACTAGTGAGATCTTGGGAGTTAAAGGGTTAAGTACTTGCATGCATTCACTATTTCTCAAAACTTTGTTCTTCACGCGTGGAGAGCTTCATGTGAAAAATTTGAACAAAGGGCACCACAATTTAGCTTACTAGAACTCTTTCGCAGCTTGACTTCATTCAGATATAAGTGATCGCATCAGACCGAGAAGAAACTGGTAAGCATAAATCATACATTATTCCAACTTAATCAACCCAATGCTAGCCTCATGACTTGAATAAAAAAAAAAATGGTAGAGAGACAATCAAGCTATATTTACCTCTCATCGAACATGTTCCAGAACATACATTTTTTCTCGTTGGTTGCATTCTAAAATAATGGAAATAATAGCAAAAAACATAATTCATGAAAGATACATAACATAGCGCATTGTGGACTATATATAGAAATCTAACGAATTCCGAACTCATAAGCAACGCAGCTGGGATAAAAATAAGCGAGTTTCATTCCAGACAACGACTCAATCTCAACCAGAAAAGACACGGTATAGTAAAACTTGTCATGAAAAAAAAATCATATGTCATACTACCTTCATGTTTTTGAACTTCAAAGTTATATTTTCCTTTAGTCTCGTGGGCGAAGGAATTATTGTGGCAGCCAAAATAATGGAGTTGACTTCCCTACTTCGGAACAATAAAAAGTCAGAATTATTAGACTTCAAATGCACACCTCCACGTATACATAAAGGAAATAAATATAAATTGTTAAGCGTAAAACCTTCCAGTTTTTAGCTTGAAGTAATTAATTAAGCATTTATGCATACAAATATGTGAGATACACGTATAGTTCAAATAGCTGGGAGACCTGGAATTGTTCAGGGTACTGTTCTCTGGTTTATTTCTAATAAATAGTTGATGGAGGTCTCTGTATATCACTCCAAGTACCACTGAACCTGGGAAAAGGATAAAAATGAAACAATTTCACGAATTTTGGAAAATTGTAATATATCAACTAGAAAATCTAAATTAACATATAAATAAATGGATCGCGAAAAAAACAAAACGTTTAAACACGGAATATTAAAAATTAAATTTTCAAACCATTATCCAAATTTTCCGACGGAATAATTAGGAAATTTTCTCCCGTAGGTTCCTCTAGACGAAAGTGGTGGCTGTGATTTTGGTAGAAGGTTTTCCTGACGAGAACATCTCGGAGAAAAGAATAAAAAAAAATGTTATTGTGATAATGATAATGATAATGATAATGATAATAATAATTACAATAATAGTAAGGATAGTAATACTACCACTAATAATAATAACAACAATAAAAATAAAAAGATCGATTTAAAACAATGTGGGTAATGTCAATGGGCGATAAAGGTTCCTTACAAGGGAGTTGTGAGAATTAGCTTAATATGTATTATGCACCTCATGCGATGAACGCTTTTCCATCGCCATGCCTTGAACCGGTAGGACCATGACGTCGAATGTACTTATCATATTAAGAAAGTGCCTTACCCATGTGTATACTGCTCATATTAAATTCACTTGTTGTGCGATTGAGGTTATACTGTCCGTATTCCAACAAGGATGTCTCCAAAGACATCAATTCAAGAAAGACTTCTTCTATCTTTTCCTGTTTTTGTTGACTTTTGTTGAGCATTTCTTCCGTAAAGCGCTGAGGAATGGTGTTCAAAGAATTGAAGATATCCTACACAAACAGCGAAGTGGTTTAAATCAAAGAACGAAATGATAAAACATACTAATCTCATGATTTTATTTTATCACCTATCATATATATTAGGTCAGCATGTGCGATGAGCCATAAATATCAATTTTCATTGCCCCAATAAAATCAACAACGCAACATACTCTTTTTTAAATGGAATTTCACGTGTTTTTTTTTTGGAAATACGTTTAATAATCAAACAATGGTTTAATTTATAAATACATATCATGGAGCAGGAACTAACAGTAGCAACTTAGTAATGTATTACAAAAAAAACAAAAAAACAAAAACAAAAAAAAAGATGAATAGAAGAAGAATACCTCTCTACTGAGACCTTGCGCTCCTGGCTTAGCACCTATGTGGAAAGGACACATACCTATTACTTATTATATACCAAAAGATAATAAGTCACTAATTTGAATAAATAACGGCAATAAATAGCTGAATAAATGTATGAATAAATGAGTCAATGGCTGAGTGAGGAAAACACTTAATTGTTAAATAATTAATTCTCACAGAACAAAGGAACGAAGGAATTATAGGGTGAAGAGAGAGACTGATGGATTTAATGATAGACATATGGATGAGAAAATAAATGATAAATGGTTCCATAATTAAAATTAAAAGGAATCTTATACATACCATTTCCTTGCAGTGAGCTATTAAATGGCTTTATCTTTATTACGGTGTAAACTCTGTAGATCCTCTTCCAGAGGTTTTCATAACAATATTGGACGTCAAAGCGATATGATAAGCCATTTGCTATAGAGTCCACGATTATGTTTGTAAGGCGACGGTTATAAATTCTCCGTGCGCACTCTTTTTGCCAATCAACGGATTGCTTGAGACAAAAAGCGAAGTCTCTGCACCATGTCAGAATACAGCACCCACGAGATAGATGATGGCAGTCGATTCTTAACCAAGGCGGATCAGTTCCGTTTTCAATTCGCAGACAGGTGCCTTGTACCCCTTTAAGTTCCAAATCTCCGTAATTCTCAGGACACTGATAACTATAACCTGAAAATTATTACGCGGGTAAAAACGTTAAATTCCAAAGAATATGCTTGACCGTACCCAACTTCCGATGATAAAATTAATTCTGTAACAGAGATTTTAACTGCTATAGACTGCTTTAGGTATCTTTTAGCAAGAGACCACGCAAATTCATGAGAATACTTTCAGCGGCAATATCCAAAAATTAAACTATAAATAATAAAACCATCGTATTGATACCGACATCGAATAAAACAGACTTTAATCGATTGACGAAAATGCTTTGATGAAATAGGTGATTTATCCCTGCATCATCTCATAAGGATAGGGAGGTGGGGAGGAGGGGAGGGGAATGTGATTGCGTTGGAGATGAAGGGCAAGTTTGCAAGCATAAGACAAATAAGATATGGAACCTTTCCCTCCCCCCCCCCTTTCCAAAAGAAAAACAAATAAGCCAACAAAAACAAACAAATTCGAACTAGACAGATGGATGGATGGATGAATAATATCATAAATAGATAGTAATTTCTCCTGGCTTCTTTTTGAGGCTTTCTTGTCATTGAAGTAAATATTTGGTAGAATTTCGGTTTCGACGATATGTAAAGCGATATGGTTAACTCAGTCATGTAACCATGAAAAATTTTGCACCATTAAGTTCTTTATCGTGAGCAACAGCATCCACGGCTTTCTTATGAATTCAATATAAAAATAAATAGATAAATAACTGAAAAGATTGATGAAATAAAGAACTTTACCCAAAAACCATCGAAATATAAAATAAAATGCGTAGTGCATCATGGCGCTAATGGCCTTCTTAATACATCAAGTTCTCTAAAAGTAAGCAACTCAGGAGGTTACTATACTACTTTTCCACACTCACCAATCATTAGTGCAAGGAAGAGAATCTTCCGGAACATTTTGGCTGGAGTTCCCTTTGAACCTTCAAATATGAATTCGGCCTTTTTGTATCTTAAGATCACTGTCTCGTTAAACAGTGATGAAGGTGGTGGTTTTAGTCCGGTGGCTTTACATAGAGGCTATATCCAGAGGCTAAATCTTGAGAGAGCAAAGAAGAAAGCGATGACAAGCTCGGCGTGAGTTTTTAACACTTAATTCCTTGACTTTGATGGCACTAAACTGACTATCTGGGTCCGTATTTACTTTATGAATTAAAATGCGAGGACAGGACATAAATACTTATTCTTTTCATTAGGAAAGTGTCATGGAAACCCACGGGCAGCAGCAGGTGGCGGTTGACTGAAAAATTGCTCCAAGTAGAGTTAATAACAGAAGAACCGACATTTTTGTCGCCCATATCACTTTCCTCTACTTATCTTCCCCTTGACACCAACGTAATAGTATTTAAATTTTACATTTCCCTAATATAAAATAACGGATGACAAGTCATAGATTTTCATAATATTTTTCCGGTGTGTTTCAAAATTAAAATTCACCTGTATGTCAAGGCACACTTTTTTAATTTCAGCTGACTTTGTGTTAATGACATCGCCTTGACAGATGTGTAATGAATGAGGATTGAAGCAAAACAAAGAGTGTTTAACTCAGTTGGCGCCGTTATTGAAAACTGAGACGAATATCCTAGTTTGCATGATGACGTGAGGTTGAGCACGTTTTACCTGTGTAAAGAGCAAATTTTCTAATGAATATTTTATCATGTTTGCAAGGGGAAATTTTCGGGTGAAGCTTCCATCTAATTACATTATTTTTTTTTCTGTTTTGTTAGCACCCCTAAATGAAAGACCAAAAAAAATTTTTACCTCGACTATTTGAAACAAATATGCATTTTGAAGACCTCGGTCACAGTTTTTCACCATACGGACCGACCCTTAGCCGGTAAATAACATATATATATAACGTTGTATTTAAAAAACTATGTATCAGCTAGGAATTGGAGGAATAAAAAGGTTACGTATTCAGTGGCTTTGATAATAGCATTTCTTGCGGGTGAGAACGAAAATCGACAACCGGAAGATTTATCAAAGGCCAATTTTTCCGTTTATCTGAAATTTTTCTTCTATCAGTAAGGACAGATTCAATGAATGAGAATTCTGTAATCATGATTCAAAGCATTTTTCCATCTTGAGCCTTAGCGCCAACCCACTGTGTGATTTTCATGCGGGAATTGTTGATTCCTCTATTTTTAGTCTTTAATATAATCGGCTTTTCTTGTCTGTAAAGGGCTATTGTATTTATATAATAGACAAAATAATACATGGTTGCTTGTAGATATGGAATATCTGTTCTCGTGTTTGACTCGACATCTCACTCGTTCACTGCGCTCACTCGCGAGCTACCGATTTAAACAGCCGAAGTGAAATTCCATATCTACGCGTGCCATGTATTATTCTCTCCATTTATGATGATAATAATTATAATAGTAAAAAATCGATGTAATGAATAGTCTCCTTATACGACTATCTCTATGTGTCACAATCATGGCTCGAATCTTTCTGCTTCAACAATTAAACTCAAGGATGACACAAAAAGCCAAAATCATTTCGCTTGATTGAAGTGGGTAGTACTTCAAATTCAAGAAAGAAAAAAAAAAGCGTATGAACATTTGAAAACCAACAGAACTAGTTTGGCAAGGACTATCACGACAATGTTTTCTTCAAAATCAGTCAATGATCTAACGGAAAGTATTATTCACTCTCATCGACCATTCATTCATGTACGAAGATTTACCTCTGTTCATTAAGTAAACGGCGAGGAAAGTAACTGTGAGTAAATTAATTTTTTTTAATTTTGAAGTTTAGAGAGTTTACTCGTTTGTTTGCTGTAATGGCGTGTTTAACTCTGGTCTTTCTTTCACAAAAAGTAAATTCGAACGGCACACTCCAACGAGACACAAGGGAATTTAATGCGGCCTTTTCTGAAAAAATTCCTTCAATTTCTGTTGTGCAATTTACGGTACAAATGTCCAAATTGAACGGAATTGGAAATACTCACCGGGAGCGTATATTTGTTGTAGAACTTAAATTAAAACTTCGCTCGCTCTTTCACTAGGAACAAATTGCTCGAGAAAATTCAGATATTAAATGAATGAAAGTTCCATCGTTCAGTTTAACTGTAACCAAATACCTCACGTTTCAACTTTATGGGTACTGTTTGTGAACGATTAAAATTAATTCCAGACGGTTTTTAGGCCGCTTGTCAACCAACGTAATGACACTATTGTTTATACAAATTCATTCTGAAACCAATATTTTTCTGTCAACCAAGTGATTTGATAGAGAGAAAAGAGAGGATTCATAAGTTATTTATCGGCTTGAAGTAGTGACCGACGTGTTTGCTTAAAAATACTGCCCAGCCGGAAAACGAGGTATATTTATAAAAAATGACAACGAAAGTTGGGATGTACTCGGCGACTCACGAAAGCGTTACCGTGGCCCTTGGGCAGAGATAGGAAAATACTGACCGGGTAAAGAACCAATCAGATTGCAAGATTCGTTACCGTGCCCTCTAAAAAAACAATAAAACATAATATCAGATAAAGATTTACAAAGGAAAAAATGCGTAGAACAGAAATTACAACACTTAAATTGAATTACATTGTATATTGAAGGAGAGAAGAGGGGCACATCTAGATAAACTAATATTGTGCCCCTTAAAGTTATGTATAACAAAGGACTTGAGATTTTTAATAAAAAAGTAAAGGAAAAATGACAAAATAGCTCAGAAAATTATAAAAGAGATAATGTTTCGTTAGTATTGAGCAGGGTACCAGCGCAAAAGTGCTTGTCTAAATATTTTTTTAGATGGTTTGTCTCTAATGGATTGCGGAATATCGTTCCAAAAGAAACTTCCAATAATGCTGGGGCAAAATCTCCTAAGATAAGTTTGAAATAAAGGTATTGTAACTTGATTGAATAATGCACTGCGGGTACTGTAATTATGTAGTTCAGATACTAATGAAACAGGTATATTAAGGAACTTTTCATGGTGGAAATAATCATAAAAAT